GACGCGGACGTCCTGAAGAAGCCCCTCTTCCTCGTGCAGGCCGCCGACAGGTCTGCACCGACGATGAGCGTCAAGGACGCCGCCAAGATGATGAACTGTGCCAACCGGAAGAACACTGGCGGCATGAACGGGCTGCTCCTGGTGCACGTGGGCATGCGGATCCGGCTCCTGGAAGCGCTCGACCTCAAGAACGGCCTCGTCAAGGATGCCGAGGGGCAGATCGTGCACATCGTCGTGGACCCTCGAGATCGAGACGACGTCGAGAGAGCCGAGAGAGGGGGAGAAGAGGATTTACCTGAAGCGCTTGCCGCTGGGGTTCTGGGTGCGCATGGAGAAGTACGCGAGCGCGCCCATCGTGGACGACCTGAAGCGCCACGACGACAGCCTCACGGGGGACCTCGCGGGCCCGCTGGTGTCCATCGAGCCCCGCACGTCGGAGCCGTTCACCTTCCGCACCTCCAAGGTCACGCGGACGGGCATCCCGTTCTCGCACGGCAGGGTCATCACCGCGGTAGCGTGCCAGGGGCGCACCATGCGAGGAGGCGACGGGGCGGGGGAACGGAGCTCCGGGGGCGGCCAGACGTCCGAGGCGCGAGCAGTCCGCGGCCAGACCTCGGTCCTGTGGACTCTCGCCCTGGGCCGTCGGCTGCCCGGCGCCCTGCCCCCTCGGCCGACGTCGCTCAGGCGTGATCCCGGACTGCGGCCGCCACGAGGTCGGGAACGGCAAGAAGGAGGACGACGACTGGTGGCTGGAGCTCTATGCGCTGCTCTCGCGCGCCACGCGCCACGAGGACCTCCTGCTCATGCGGGCGCCGCGCGTCGAGTTCTTCCTGGCAGGGCCGCCGGAGGGCTTGCGGAAGCAGCTGGAGCAGTTTGCGGCGCGCACGAAGCGGTGCAGGAGGGAGGCGACGGCCCTCGCCAGGGAGCTCGGCTTCACCGAGTTTATCCGCGAGGCCTGACTTGTGGAGCGCCCCCCCCGAGCCGCGCCTTCTCTCGACTGCTCGACTACCTGTTTGGCCCCGCGCCGCGGACGACCCGCGCGCGTCGCTGGGGCCCTCTCAGGGCGACCAGCGCGCTGCGTTTTGCCCGGCGCCTCGTTCGCCCGTCGTCGCTCTGCCCAGCGGCCGGAGCCTTGCCTGCGATCAGCCAGCCGGCTAGCTCTCTTTGCTCCGCGCAGCGGACGACCCGCGCGCGTCGCTGGGGCCCCTCCGCGGCGACCTGCGCGCGTCGCGGGGACTCCGCGCTGCGCTGCGCCCGCAGCCTTGGACTTTGGAGCGCGCAGGCAAAGAGGGAGAAAAAGGAGAGAAGGAAACGGGCGCTATCCTCGTGCGGGGCGCGCCGACATGGGCTTCGCGGCGTGCGGACGCTGCCGACGGCAATTCTAGGTGGGCTCCTTGCGGCGGCCACATTCAGTGTCACTCGTATTCAGAGCCAGTCATACTCAAACCGTTCACATTCAGATGCAATTACACTGGGCCGAGTCATGTTCCCATTCATGTACATAGATTCGCTCGCACGCAAACTCTTTCACAAACGTACGCACTCGCGCTCGGACCCACCCGCGCTCAGTCTCTCGTACTCAGAACTATAATATTTGTTCATGTTGTGTACCCCCGCCACACATTTCGGCGCACCCTTCATGCGGTTCGTGGCCCCATAGGGAGCGCCACCGAGGAATATATCCACAATTGCGGTATTCACAACTACGTATGGTTGGGTCCTTCGCCAGGCTAATTATTTTGAGACGTGCGCCGCGTACCTCTCGATATCATCCCCGAGGGAACCATCGCGACATGCCCCCCCGCTTCCGCGCCCTCCCCCGCTTCCTCTTAAAGTTGCTTCTGAGTTCGCAGCATGGCGGTGGAGCCTCTCACAGTGCCGTCCCGACAGCTTACTCGTCGACCAGGTGCGACCTGGGACATCCTCGCAACTCTGGGCTCCGAGACAGGGTTCCCCAAACAGGATTTTGATATACCTTTTAGCGACGTCTCAAAACGTGCCGGAGGAGGAGGAGGAGGAGGATGAGGAGGAGGAGGAGGAGGGAGCAGGCATGAGGAGGAGGAGGAGGAGGAGGAGGAGGGATAAGGAATGGAGTTGCATGAAAGGGCTTAACAGGAGTCGAGAGGTAGAACGGCCCGTTTCGCTTGGGGCATCCTTCGAATACTGAGCTCCGAGATGCCGCACGCGAGGTGGTCCAGCCCGTTTCTCCCGAGCCAACCTCACAATGCGAAGCTCCGAGATGCCGCCATGCGCGCCCTGCCTTCCGCCCTCCGCAGACATCCGACGTCGCGATTTTTGTTTAGAGACGGGCGCCCGCGGACTTCTCGATCTCATCCCAACCGTCTTTCCGTCAGGGTTCTTTCTTATGACACCCGCGACGTCCTGCAAGAGCCTCCAGAGTCTCAGAGGATAGGGACCGTGCACAGCTGGCTCGTGAGGCGGCCACGGGCGATGTGCCAGTCCGAGTGGGACTCGTCTGGCGATCTCTCCCTCTCTCTGTCTCTGACTCGGTGGAGGTAGGGGGGAAGTCGAGATCGACAGGAGGGCGACGCGTTATCCGTTGCAATCCGGGCCGAAATGTCCACCGCGATCTCCGCCGCGATCCGGGTGCAAATCTCGTCCACCATCCCCGCTGCGATTTGGGCCACAATCTTCGATGCGATCGAAGCTACGTCGATCTCTTCTGAAATCCCGAATCAGATGATCACGACAATCTCCGCTGCGATCCAGGCCCAAATATCCATTGCACTTTCCGCAGCGGTCCAAGCCTCCCCGATCATTCCGATCTCCACTGCAATGCAGGTCCAAATTTCAACCGCGGTCTTCATTGCGATCCAAGCGATCCATGCCAAAACCTCCACGGCGATCCCCGCCGAGATCCATGCGAAAATATCCACGGCGATCTCCATTGCGATCCAGGCCAAAATCTCCTCCCTGATCCAGGCCAAAATCTCTTCTCACGAAATCTCCACATCGATCTGCACGGGGATCCTAGGTCAAAGCGTCCACGGCGATGTCAGTAACAATCCACGCCAATATCTCCACGACGATGGCCGTGGCGATCCATGCAAACATCTCCAAGACGATCCCTGCGGCGACCCTGGGCAAAATCTCCACGGCGACCGCCGCTCTGGTTTTTATCCAAATCTCCACGGCGAGCTCAGCTGCGATCCAGCCCCAAATCCCCACGGGCCCCCGGATGCGATCAAAACCAAAATCTCGACGGCGATTTGTGCCGCAGTCCAGGCCCAAATCTCCAGGGTGACCTTCGTCGGTCCACACCGAAATCTCCACAGCGATCCCCGCCGCGATCCAAGTACAAAACAACACCATGGCGACTACACCCGCGATCCAGGCCAAATTCTCCACGGCGCTCTCCGCCCTGGTCCATACCTAAATCTCCTCGTCGATCTTCGCCGCGATCCAGGCCAAAAAACTACATGCCGATCACCACCGAGATCCTGGATCAAATGATCACCGCGATCTCCGTCGCGATCCAGGCCAAACTCTCCACGGCACCCCCTGCCACGATCCAGCCCCACATCTCTACGGCGACTTTGCCCCCACGATCCAGGCGAAGATCTCCCAAGTGCCCCCCGCTGCGACCCATGCGAGAAACCGTCACGACAACTCAGCCAAACTGCCAAATCAAAATCTGCCCGGCGATCTCCGTCGCGATCCAAGCCGGAATTCCCACTGCCATCTCCGCGGCGATCTCCGCTGCGATTTCCGCTGCCATCCGATACTTCACCGCGATCTTCGCTGTGAAGTATCCCCACGACTTTACGGCGATCTCCACTGCGATCCAGGCCAAAATCTCCATCGCGATCCCCGCGCCAGTCTTTACCCAAATCTCCTCGTCGATCTCTGCCGTGATCCATGCCAAAATCTCCACGTCGATCTCCACCGAGATCCCAGATCAAACGATCATCACCGCGATTTCCGTTGCGATCCAGGCCAAAATCTCCACCCGACCCTCCGCTGCTTTGGAGGAGGAGGGGGGGGAGGAGGAGGAGGAACAGAAGGAGGAGGAGGAGGCGGAGGCGGAGGAGGAGGAGGAAGAGGATGAGGAGGAGGAGGAGGAGGAGGAGGACCGTACATGGACATTATATTCGAACCCTGTGGCCCAAGATGCCCCCCCCGACCCCCCGAAATTAATATTGATGGCGTGGCGACGGGGGGGCGTGAGTGGACAGAAATATTCGAACCCCAAAGCACCGCCTTTACTGAAATCAACATTGATGTCGGGGGCGCGGGGGTGATTTAGAATCTTCCTCGAATGTGAGAGGGTTCGAATATATTGTCCATCTACTGGAGCATCTTGACTCCCCACGGGGGTCTGGGCGGGTGCCGGGGAGAAGCCGCGGAAATCGTTTTAAGCAAACAGTTACACACTTCGTGGTCTTCGAGGTCCCAGAACTCCATTCCTGGGCATGACTTGGAATGCCCGGAGCCAACTGTAGGCCACTTCGTGCTCTTCGAATTCTCAGAACTCCATTCCTGGGCATGACTTGGAGTGCTCGGAGCCAACTGTAGGCCACTTCGTGGTCTTCGAGTTCCCAGAATTCCATTCCTGGGCATGATTTTGAATGCCCGGAGCCAACTGTAGGCCACTTCGTGGTCTTCGAATTCCCAGGACTCCATTCCTGGGCATGATTACCTAACAGCGAAGACTGATAGGCTTCTAATGGTTTCAAAAGAAAGCATCATGACTCCCCAGGGGGGTCCGGGCAGGATCCGGGGAGAATCCGCGGAAATCGTTTTAAGTAAACAGTTACACAATTCGTGGTCTTCGAGTTCCCAGAACTCCATTCCCGGGCCACATTCTAAATGCCCGGAGCCAACAGTAGGCCACTTCGTGGTCTTCGAGCTCCCAGAATTCCATTCCCGGGCCACATTTTGAATGCCTGGAGCCAACTGTAGGCCACTTCGTTGTCTTCGAGTTCCCAAAACTCAACTCCTGGGCATGATTTTGAATGCCCGGAGCCAACTGTAGGCCA